GAACAAGCACAGGCTTCGAAAGAGAACCACTGCAGTGCTGTGTTAAGGTTCCAGACACTTTGCTTAACGTGTCTACTCCTTCCTGGTTACTGATTGCTTTTTAATAATGTGGAGCAAAAGAAAAAATTTTGCCTCAAGTTATATTTGCAACTGTCCTTATCAAATAAAAATCAGATCTAAATTGAAACTCAGCTCTGGGATGGCTCAAGTTGAAAACCAGTTTTCTTTCTGTGTCTCTCCCTCTCCCTGTCTACTCCTCCTCTCCCGCAAATCTACTGCTAGATACACACAAACTTGCGTACACCATGATTAAGACAAGGCGTGAGAACAATTCCAGATAAAAAGGGAAAAATACAGCTCACCACATACCAAAGTGCAGTGGAGGGATGTATTTTTTGATACCACTAGGCTTGAGAGAAACGAGGGTAGTAACCTCACACAAGCAGCTTGTGAGTAAGGATGCTTGGCATTTCTCTGGAACTCGAGGATACTGTGTACAACTGCCCTGCAACAAACAGGTCACGGCACCCACCAGTACAGAGGAACCTGATAAATCCTAGCTGTGCAGGAGTTTTGCCAAATTATGCATATTTTAACAAATGTGAAAGCACTTAGAAAACCTGAATCAGTTTTCCTTCAATAGCAAGATGAGAAACCATTCTTTAAAGCTCTCAGTGAAACTGAGAGTCCCTGGAAAATAGCATGGAAAAAAAGTCATGAGGTAGCTATCTCCCATGAAGAGAGTACCAGCCCAATCTACATGCACTCAAAAACCAATTTCACTCAATATTTAAATGACCACATAATTTGAATGTGCTGAAGCAAGTAGGAGTAACCCTGCCAAGATATCCTATCGGTGAGTGTTTGGAAAGCAGAATCTCAATACAGAAAGGTAATGAAGGTGCTACTTCGATAGCACCTTCAAAACTCAATGCAGCCCAATGCCTTCACCAGTCTCCGCCAAAAGAGACAAACTGAATGGCTAAAACTTTCTAGCAGACACAAATCCTCATGTACTTAAATTATAACTGGATAAAGAGGTCACCCTTAGCTAAGATGAACATACCTTACATGTCATGGGCAAACGACCTGCCAGAAACAAGATCAGTCAACAGAGACCCAGTCCTTGATAGCTGCTGAAGGACCTCAAATGAGCCGCTGAAACTGAGCCCTGTATCTCGGTGAGGAGCCAATGTCAAACAGAACCCTGGCCTGCCCTAGGGCCGCTCACAAACCCCACCTGGTTTCTTGGCTGGGGGCGTCTCGTCCTCCTGGCTGGAGCTGTCATCGCTGCT